CAAACAAACAAATAACTGAGAAAGGATATATTCTTAATATTTTTAGCTAGTAAGTTAGATATAATTTCACAAAACGTACTCGTCTATAAATAACGATAAAATTCAGAGTTCGATTTCTGCGGTGGGCAAAGCGCAGATAGACCATTGTGCTGTTCATCTGATATACAGGTGATGGTGATACAAGGAGCCAGTGGCAAGATAGTAAGTGTTGAATATTGGACACGTGGGACCGTAATAAAAGGAGGAGAATTTGAAGGAATGTGTTTTCGACTCGGTAATAAAACTATTGGTACTTCCTTAATGTACCATTACAAAAACAATTACTTGGTTGAAAAACACCCCTTTCTCTTGAGAAATTCTGTGGGAGTGTTTGAAGATTCTATTTAATTTTCAAGAAATGTTGGTTAAGAACAATAATTCACGGTGCTTCTGAAAGTATGCGCAAAGTTTTGATAATTTGTGACGATTATATTATCGTCTTTTTATCTGTGATATATGAACTTGCAGTTGATTTGTTTTGTTTAATTTTCTCCTTACTTATGTATTCCGAGAAAGCATTCAAATGTTTTTATATAAATTAAGTAATAACGAGGGAAGTTAGATTTGAAAATGCAGAGAAGCGGGTAAAAATCGCTATTGGTTGTTTGGCCTAAACATTGACAACTTATTGCTCTTTTCCCATACAGCTGGTGTAAGTATTCATTTCTGTATTATAAGATATAGCTGCAATTATTTCTTAATCGTGCTACTACTGCGTTATGCATTCATCAGCTTATAACTGAAGTTTGTTGTTGTTGTTTAAGTGAAAAGCTGTTCAAAAGATTATCTGCTGTGCTAACGGCAGTGATCAAATCTTGAAAACTTAGATATAAATCCTTAAGCCTGTTAGTGAGCCGCCTAGTGGCAACGGAAGTTTTGATCTAATTCCGGTGTCGTTACAGTTATATGTCTAAAATACTTTATTTATATTTTAGCAAAATCACAATATTCTTATCTTTTGACTATTAATAATATGATTAAAGTTATTTATTGATTTTTAATGTACAGAGAGAAAGGAAAAAATCATAGTGGCTTGTTGTCTCCTGTTTTCATGTACAGATAGAACAGTGACAGCATAACGGCTTGTTGTCTCCTGTTTTCATGTACAAATAGAACAGTGACAGCATAGCGGCTTGTTGTGATAAAGATAAGATTGTTAATATAATCTGTGAAGTAGAGACCTGGTGTATTATTTGATTTCGCTGCATCCTGTGCCTGTAGTCTTATTAAAGTCTTACCAGCACAACTTGGTTCAACAAACCAAGAAATGCAGTTAAGCCTTTTATAATGGTGATGTATATATATATATATAATATTTAGGGTTTTTTAGTTCTTTTTAATTCATCGTGCAGTACCCTAAATTAACTTAGGTGTATGATTAACATTATGGCATTGCGCCGAACTTTCGATATAATAAGATATAATAGAAATAACATAACAGTTTAGTTTAATTTCTGACCGTTAAATAGGTCTGATGGTAAATAATATTGACCGTCCACTCCCAGACTATGAATCCGAGGGTTCAAGTCTCCTGTCTCGTTGTCATGCAAACGCGCTCTGCACTTTTGGGTGATGGGTGTGATATAGTGACTTTTTTTCTTTCCCGGCCAGACAAGAGTTACGTGTTGATGATTAGCTGCTTTCCCTCAAATCTTATCGGATCAAAATTAGGAACGGCTACGAACATATAGTTCTTATGTAGTGCGCCCCCGGTGGCTGAACGGAAGTCTACGAATGCTAACAGTTGCGTTTCGATACCCGCAGTGAGAAGAGCACAGAAAGCCCATTGTGTAGCTTTGGGTTTAAACTACAAACAACCTCCTTCATGGAGCTTTGTGTGAAAATTCTGAATCAAACAAGCAAAATTAAAGAAAAGGCAGTCTGAACTCTTATTTTGTTAATCATTTTGTAGGTTCTGCAAACCCAAGTTATTTATTTTGGTGCTTTATAAGTTCATGTATTTTCTTGTAGTAAAATATGAAACTTCCACTTCATGGTGACAGAACCAATATCAGTTTAAAAGGGGTTTTCGTTCTTTTTTTAATATTACCTCAATATCATGATAGCGTTCAACTACTATTAAATATTACGTTCTTGATGTGGCCTCCCAGTGGCACAGCGGTATATCTGTGGACTTACAACGCTAGAAACCGGGTTTCTATACCCGTGGTGGGCAGATCACAGATATCCCATTGTGTAGCTTTGTGCTTAAACTATAAACAGCAATTTAGTGTGAAAGCTACTTTTATTGAAGAGTAACAAATCTAATTATTTGATTGCAATATATTTGGTTGCACACACTTAGGAAAAATTTTGTGCAAACATAAATATCTTTAAAAATCATTGTTTTAAGTCTTAATTCTTGGAATTTTTCCATCAGTCGTTGAAATATTAGTTTCGTCGATTCAGCGTTTATTTCACTTAAATTTTCACGAAGTCACTGTGAATTCAATAATCTACTCATAAATTTTAGTTCTCTTAAAATTTACAAAGTTTCACTGTGAACTCAAAATTTAAGAGTGAAGTTTTGATTTCGCAAAATGTTACAAGTTGTTGTTGCGGTTTTAAGATGATTCAACATATATTTCAGTTCTTGTTTATTTACTCTACTCAATTACCCATTGCGATGTTGCTGGCTCTCAGTCAAGATTCTAAGTCATTTAAACATGTTACATGGCCTGGAATAATGTCTATTGATAGTCAGGTACATGGATGCAGGTTGGCACTGTGGTTGAGCTCTGTATTTTGAAGCTGGTGATTCGGGTTCGAATCAGTGCGATACCATCAAATATTTAACATACTTTAGACTGTGGGTGTGCTATAAGAGTAAAAATCAATACTTTAGCGTGGATAATTGGCAGTAGGTTGCTGCTGACTGACTGCCATTCCTCTACCCAGTAATTCAAAATTAAGGACGGCAGCTTTGCCATAAATACATATACTGTTTAGGAATGATTATTACACTGACCTTTACACCCCTAAATTTGAATAAGAATCGTCTAAGTTTTGCTTTCAACTTTGTCTTTAAAACACCTTTTGAAGAGAAATTACCATCGAGTATTTCTGTCAATACAAGTTCCAATATAAAGATTCTGTTCTAAGGATTTATTAGTGAAGACAAAGAAGAATATGTAGTAATATATCAGCCACACTAAATCTGTTATATCCAGTTGCCGACGAGACCTTTTGCCCATTACCAGAGCTCATCAGGTCGGCTGGGATACAACAGACACAGTAGTGATATACGCACTATTTATATCATCAATTATATGAACTACAGCAAATGTAATGGTGTGATCTGGACAAAGTCAAGTGTATATTTAAGTAATTTACAATTCAGAATTAGGGTAAGAATTAATAACACATTATTTGTATTCAACACCAATTATTTAATTATCAGTTTTATTCTTATTTGACCTAACTTTACTATCACAACTGGCTACTCTTCTTGTTCCCGGAGTGGGTCATTTAACCACAGCGTCAAAAGCAGAGAAAACTACATTAGTAATTCTAAGAATCCATGAGTGAAAGCGAAGAAGTATATGTAATAATATATCACTCACTCTATATCTACCGTATCTAGTGCCGACGAGGCATTTCGCCTAATACCAAGGCTCACTAGGCTGGCTGGGTTACGACAGATACAGCAGAGATCAAGGAGGCGCTATTTATATCATCAGTTGTTATGGTATGAATTAGATTGATTACGTGTCCTGAACTAACTAACTAACTAAGTTAACTTTTAAGAGAAAGAAACAAGTTCTTTATTTTTCTTTAAATGACATGTAAGTACAAATAAATATCACAAGACAAACGACAGAGAACACTGACAAAGGATATTGAACTCCTGATTGGCTTTACGTGCAACGTGTGTTAGTGCTGCTGTCCAACTATATTCACAGTTCTAGGTCGTTACTAACGTGTAATATTTTCTTAAAAATGTAATTATGTGGTACAATTCTATTTTAGTGGATGTGCAGGATATACTGATACATATCTAATCTTACTGCTATCATTTACTATCAGAGAAAGAACATTTCAACAAAAGGAATGCCATTCCATATACTAGGTAACTGAATATTGTAACAAGTAGCTTTTTATAACAAACAAAGTATCGTTTCAATGGAGAAAAAAAATCGTTGAATGAAACCAAAATCTAAGTGCAACTCATCTTAGAAAAACAGTAACGATTTTATACAATTCAGAACATTATCGCAAAAAACAAACACCCAAGAACAATAAAAACCTTGCTTGAAAAGAAAAGCTACTTTGTTTATTCTTACAGTAATATATTAATTACGATAGTTTATTTATTTTTTTAGTTTAAGCGGAGTGAATAGGAATCATTCGTTCTTGTGATCCTTCTAGGGCCGGTAGAGGCGATTCAATCGTCAAAACGCCATCTTTTGATAAAGATGATTTAATCATTTCCGGGTTGGTTCCCTTTGGCAACAGAAACTCTCTATTATACTCTCGAAAAACTTGTTTGCACTCAGATTTTTCTTCATGCTTAGCATGTACCTACAAAAATACAAAAAAATACGGAGTTAATTAAACCAGAAAAATAATGCTGTGCTAATAAAAAGACACACACACACACACATATATATGTATAATGATATGAAAAGTATAAAATATATTTATAGAATCATTGTGTATGTAATTTAAAAAAGAACTAGAAATAAGATGGTTTGTTCGGTACGTACAAAAGAACTTTATACAAACGTTAAAAAAAGGATTTCTCTCCAAAACACAAGTTTAACAGAAGTTATGGACACATTTACTGATTTACTTGTCAAGAGGATTGTGAATTGAGCTTGTAATAACAATACTAAAGAAAAAGCGTGAACGTTGACACTGTATATAAAACTTGCAGTACTGAATTGTTGAACTATGCAGTTAACAATTTACATTCTATTATTATTAATTATTGAAACATAACTAATATTCTTATTAATAAATACTAATGCTTTGCATTTTCAAAAACCTTCATTTTTAGCCGCGGTATAGTGGCTTATAGAAGGGCTCTGAGTTTCTGTTGTTTTTTTTTCAAGTACAAATCTTAAGCTCATAGCTCCATCTCTTGACCATCGATTTGAGATATAATTACAGCCGCGGCTATTGAAAATTCCTCATTTTTGAAATATAAATATAAAGATAACTACGAATACTTATTTCACTGCCTGGAAAGTGCTGAATACAAAATGTCCATTTGATACATTTTATGGAAAGGGCTTATATATATGTTTTAGTAGTTCTAATATATATATAACAGTTTTAAATTGTGGTCGTACAGATGACCAAAACGTTTTGAAAATAATATTCTTATTTTAACCCGTTGCAACACCCACCCCCCTCCCTCAGTGGCACAGCGGTATGTCTGCGGACTTACAACGCTAGAATCCAGGTTTCGATACCGTCGTGGTGGGCAGAACACAGATAGTCTTTTGTGTAGCTTTGTGCTTAACTTCAAACAAACAAGTAACAAACAGTCTAGTAATGTATTGTAATTTCAAACTTACAGTTCTAAATACACAGAAAAACAGAGAAAGTTGGATATTGTGATTTTCTTGAGAGGGTGAAAATATGTACAATGTATTGGTTGGACATAGTACCTTGAATAGTAACTTAACGTTTTACTATATTCTGTAGCACAGAGACGTTTGTCAAACAAAAGATACACGTGTAGTAGCGGCCTCTTTTAGTTTTCAACAAGATATTCCTGCTGTAGACTGCGACTTAACCTTGGAATCAGCTGAACAGAAGGAGACCAAGAGCTATTTTAGGACACGTTCAGGGTCTTTAGGAAACTCTAAACGTTTTAAAACATCTGTTTTTACAGGCAGTGAATAAAACAATAAAAGGTATAAAAACAACAACCGGAAACATGCCAAATAGTTGTACATAAGGCAGCCTTAACCCATTATTTTACATAATACTCCCTGCCAAGTACAAAAATAGATATTGTTTCTCGCTGATGTGCATACTTAACCTTCTATTACCACTGAAGATATCAAATAAATACATATTGTGAACATTATTTATTGTTTTTATATATCTGTGTTTGCGTGTGCAAAGAAATCTAATGATTTATTTTTAATTAATTACTATAAGGCGCTAAACGAAAGCTACTGACGTTAGCAAAAACTATGGATTGATATATTCTTCTGTACGTTGTTATACTTGAATTAGATGTTTACTTAACATTATTAAAGTGCGGGTTAAGACGCACATCGGAAGTCCAAGGTTCGAGCCATGATACACTGCTGAATACGCTCCGCGCTTTCAGTGGGGGATGCAGGTGTCATAATTGTGACAGTTAGTCAATCTCATTATTCGGTTACGAGTAACCATGGAAATGACAAACTTACAGGTTGCGCCCCCTCTGGTCAGCCATTCTAAGTTAGAGAATCTTTGATCTGGCTATATGTCGCACAAGATGCTATTCATGTTTAAAATATCAAACTTCGTTCGTAATTTATAGCGCGGTTTCTTTTCAACTAATCCACGATTAAAAAGAAGTGAAAATACTCTGACATTTGAAATCATGTATACGTGTTGTGCGCATGGAGAAAACACATTATTTTCTTTTTTTTTACATATACAGTATTTCTGAATTTTCGCCGTCTCTAATTTTGAACTGATATACTAATATGCAGACAGCTGGCCAACAACACCCATCTTTAACTCCTGCACTAGTCTTGTCTGGGATTTGACCATCAGTGAACCTTATAGCGGAGCCACAGCTCTAAAGTCTGGAGTGAGTTTGTGCGGGACTGGAACCTAAACCATGAACCATCAAATTAACAGTTCAGGCATTCTAACCATTAGACTACGTCCGGCCTAATTTTGAATACTTTTATATGTATTTGTGTGTATGTATCTATCTATATGTACACACACGTGCACATATTCATATACGTTCGTTTGTAAAATACGTACTAGACCAAGATGGTATTATTATTTTTATTAATTTTTTAATGGTTAATTTTCCTAAGTACACTAAACTTTTCTAAGATTTTGGACTGATATGCACAATTAACGGTAAATTTATGAACTTACAACGCTAAAATCTGGGGCTCGATTCTCCGTGGTGGACACTACAGATAGCCCAATGTGGCTTTGCTCGAAAGGAAACGAAGTTAATGCACACATAAATTGATTTATTTATTTGTTTTCTTGTTTTAAGGGGATTTTGGTTGCTAGGTGTGACTACGGCACAGAAATTATGCACTAAGTCGCTTGTTTCGTGTCTATAAGCAAAGGTCAATAACCTTCACTGAGCCTTCACCAGCAGGGTTCATCTAAAACAACACTTCTACTAGTACTATATATAACTAGCATAATTCTATTGGCATACTTTATTTAAAGAAAGACCTCAGTGTTAGAAACTCACAACTGTCTGTGCTTAAATAGTTTTATGAGGCTGTATATTCGTTGAAGGAATGTTACAGCAGTTTTACTTTTGATAATGAAGGCTTAATAGAAGTCATTTCTCACTCTAAAGGTTCGTTCGTTTTAGCTGAAGACCACACACAATAGGTTATCTCAGTTCTGTCCATCGCAAGTGATCGAACCACGGATTTTAGCGTTGGAAGTCTGTAAGTTTATCGCTAACCCACCAGGGAGATCACATTAAAAGTATATATATGCGCCCTAGTTTTATGAATTATTTCTTTTCACGTGAAGAAAAACTAACTGCAATCAACGACAGTGATTTTTTCAGAATAACAAAAATTCTGTTTTTGAAAAACGTCTGTCAAAAGAATTTCACGCCCCTTCCTTCATTTCTGAAGCTGTTATTGTAAATATTATAGTTCTTTTTGCAAAAGAAAAAAAGGGGGGGGGGGTATTGAGGAAGAAGATATTTTCACGTCTTCTTCTATTCCCCACCCCGAACACCGAGAAAAATGCCTGATTCTGCATTTTGTTACAGTATAAGAAGTACAAAATGTTTGATTTACTTCACGTGGCCTAGTGATTAACACTTCGGGCGCTGATCGAACGGTCCGAGGTTCGAGACGTGACGCTGCATTACGCGCTACGTACTTACATATAAGTTATATAAGTGACGTTATCTGATGTAAAGAACAGTACAAAACATCTTTGATAGAGAGGGCGACTAACTGGCTAGTTGTCTTCCCTCTGATAGTATATCAAAATACGAAACAGCTATATCGGTTCTGTGGCCGTTTAGCCTACTTGTGCATAAGACGCCCTTCAAGTTGAAAATTCCAAATCCATTTGCTCTACTAAAACGGAAGATCCTCCCGACATGACTATTTACTGCAGTAGTTCTTAAACTATTTTGCTCCATGCCCCACCTATACACCTCAAAAACTTTGATGTCCCCTTACTATAAAAACGAATTTGGTGTTGAAAAGGTATAATAATATAATGTAAAATTTAGAAATTTACCAAAAAAATAGGAGTTTAATTTTCTCATTGACCCCAAATATATTCAAATTGCCCCCCCCCCCCACGGGACTTGTGCCCCACGTTCAGAATCACTGATTTACTGTATATTAAACGCAAACGTTAATACTGAAAATCTTTTGTTATTGTAGGGTAGTAGTGCATATTGAAGTTTTAGAAATATATATATATAATTAAACTTAATATTATAGATAAACAACAACAACAACAGGGAACATTAAATAACGACCCATCTTATGATTTGTGCCCCTGTGTTGGATGTTTGTTTCTTGCCTGCGTTGTTTTTTCTCTCTATATAAAATTATATTGAATTATATGTCATCTAAGGTTTGGTGTATGCTGTGTAAAATTCACGTTATTCTTCCTTTCATAAAAAAATGTTTTGTTAGCGTACTTAAATAATAAAACTAATATATATATATATATGTGTGTGCATAGTTTGGTTGATTGGTGTTATTGCTTATGAGTGATACAAATACGCAGGTTTGACGATGCTCTTAACGAAACTCTGGGAAAAAGCAGTTAATGGGATAAGCTGTACATACGGTCGGTTTTAGAATTCAGAACGGTATTTAAAAGTGAATAACAGTTACAAAAATGTTTGAACAAACGTGTTTTTTCTTTTGTAACTATGCCTGGCGCACTGGGCGGTAGGCATGGTCACTTGGATGATGTAAACACTGATTCAGCCTAGCATTCTAGATTGTTGTTTCTCAAATTAGAATTTTCTTGTAGTTGGATTAGGCTATACAAAGAAGCTTGGTAACAGAGTACGTCGATTAGATAATAAGAATTGTCCAAAACTGGTTCGATTAGTAGACTAATGGGAAGGTAACGAGTAATGCATTAATATTCTGTCGTGACAGCTAATGGGCTTAGTGAGAGAATAATAGGCTAAAAAGACATTTGTAATAATTTCTCACAGATCTGATATCCAGGAGGATCATTGGTTCTTTGTTAATATATCTGATACTAGAAAGGGTCTTCAGCTCATTGTTAACATATCTGATACTAGGAAGGATCTTCAGCCCATTGTTTACATATCTGATACTGGAAAGGGTCTTCAGCTCATTGTTAACATATCT